AAATATTCATAAAACTCCAACAACCAAATACAACGAGTTCAAGTAACCAATTGGTTACAAGCCACAATCCTAACCCACAAAGACTAAGGAAAATGATAAACGAGGGACAAACACATTACTCCCTCTCCACATCCGTAATGGATAGCAAATCAGAAAAAATACAAGCACCAACATCCACAACAAAAACACAAGAGACTAAGGAGTTTAAGAGAACATAAAACAACAACATACTTCGGAAAAGCCTTCTTTGATCACCAATTGCAAGCTCCATCTCGGACGTTTGAAGGTTGGTGGATAAGATGTTTAAAGGGCAACTCGGATGAAATATGGAGGTGTACATGAACGATATGTTGGTTAAAAATAGAAAGGCGGGAGATCACATACGGGACCTTAAGGAAACTTTTGATACTTTGTGAAGGTACAAAATGAAGCTTAATCCCGTGAAGTGCAAGTTTGGGGTGAAGTCCAGAAAGTTCCTTGGTCAAAACGCGAAATCGAGGTCAATATGGAGAAGGTCAGGGCAATGTCAGATATGTAGCTGCCATGGAACATCCAGGAGGTTCAAATACTGACAGGTTGTTTGGCAGGGTTAAGCCGTTTAATATCTCATGCAGCAGAGAGGAGTTTTCCATTTTTTCGAGCTCCAAGGAAGGGTTCTAGTTTTGAATGGTCTATGCAAGCCCAGGAAGCCTTTGCCAAGTTGAAGGAGTTTTTGGTGGAGCTACCACTACTTACCAAGTCGGAATTGATTGATGTCTTGATTTTGTACATGTCTGTGGGTAAAGTAGCCATCTGCTTGGTCTTGTTCAAGGAGGGAGAGGGTCCACAACGACCTATTTATTATGTGAATAAACTTCTTCAAGGAGCAGAGACTAAGTATGTCGAGGTCGAAAAGGGAGCTCTAACTCTTATCGTTACAACTAGGAAGTTGAGACCTTATTTTTTATCACACACAGTCATGGTACGAACCAACTTGCCGCTGAAGGAAACTCTAGAAAGACAGTCGACTTCAGGATGGATGGTGAAATGGTCGGTTAAGCTAAGGGAGTACAATGTCGATTTTGAACCAATGTGTGCTATTATAGCTCAATAATTAGCATACATCATTCAAGAGGGTACAATGGGTGTTTGGTGCAGACGGAATATCAAAATATTTATTATTTTTAAAATATTTGGTAGTATCTACTATTCTTATTATTTTTAGCATTTAGTATTTGTTTGTTATCGTACTTAGTTTTGGTGAACAAGTTAGGTTTAGGATTTAGGGGCATTATATAAAGGACTCCCTGTAGTTTATTTTGCTCAGTTAATTATTGAAATAAGAATTTTAGATTGTAATCTAGTTATATTCTCAGGCGTAGGAACGATCAATCACACGCGAGCACCTCGAGACGCTGGGATAGAAATCTCGGGGCGAAATCCGAGGAGGGAGAAAATGGGATCCTTTTTTGTCTGAGAACCTCAGGATCTTGGCCAAAACTAGAGCTTCGTGGTCTTCCCGGGTTGGAAATGACCCTCGAGTCCGAAACAAGCCGGAAAACGGATAGCGCTTGGAAGATTCCCCTCGGTCGGAAACGGAGTTTTAGGGGGAAATTCAAAGAATAAGGCAAGCAGTTTCACCCAATCATCGGTTAACATGCCTACTCTGAAACTCGCTTACCATAGTTTACTTTCTTCTATCCCAGAATAGAGTGTAAGAGCAGCCATTCCTAAGGCAAACAAGCCAGTAATCTTGTGCTACCGGGCGCACTATATAAAAGCTGATATCGAAAGTATGTCAATCCCTATATTAGTTGGTATCAGAAGTCAGCATGATTCACGATGTCGTCGAGACGACAAGATGCATCAATCGACCGGCGTGACGCTGCCATCAAATACCGATTTCAACAATTTGACGATTGGTTTCAGCAGATGGATGCTCGGTTTGTGGATCTTTCAATGGGTTTCAAGGAATTGGATCTTTCAACGGGTTTCGAGGAATTTCGTCTCACTCTTCACACCTTGGTTCGAGACGAGCAAACGAAACGCGACTTAGCCAGGGTCCGAGGCGGTATATAGCACATAATATAGCTTGGCTGAATCGGCTAAAGTCAGCCCATGTTCAAGAGTCTCAGACAAGTCGAATAGGGCGCTATATGTCATGGTGGTCCAGATGTATATGTTTATAGCTCGGAGTGACTCAACATTCCTATAACTCGAGTATGTTACAACTTGGACTAGACATATAAGTAGGTCGAACGTGGTATATCTCGGACATATGATTGGGGGCGTGCTTGTAGCTCAGACATATAATAGCTTGGACATATGACCGGGGGCATTCTTATAGCTCGAACATATGACATGAGGTGTTCTTATAGCTCAGACATATGACAGGGGACGTTCTTATAGCTCATACATATGACAGCTCAGACATATAATAGCCTGAATATATGACCGGGGGCGTTCTTATAGCTCGAACATATGACAGCTCGGACACGATAGTAGTTGGATAGCCCGAATAGGGATAGAGAGATCGACATATTAGGTCGAATCTAGGCTGCAAGTAAGGGACACGTGTAGGCTCATAAACAAAAGTGATAGATGATCTGTCATATTAAAAATAAGCTAAATAATTGACGGGTAGCCTAGTAACTGACGGGCAGTCACTAGGGCAATACGGCCACCAGGGCAAGCCTTCGGGCAGCCAGATATGGGGAAACATGTTCAAGAGGCTAATTCTCTATATAAACAGGTATTTGGAAAGGTAAAAGTTAATCACACTTTATATTCTATATTCTAAGCTTGCATTTCTCATACAACTTTCCACAGTACCTTCATTGACTTGATCGTCGGAGGTTTACCGCCGATAACATCTCCCGATGTTTTTGTAAGTCTCCGGAGAGCAATAGAAGTTCGACCCCTACAAACGAAGCGAAGCGAAGTTCAGTCATGAGGGATAGTAGAAAACGGGTTCGAAGTGCATCTACACATTAATATCCAAACCCAACCCCTGGTCCCCTTTCTATTTTTCTCATGGTGTAGTTTACTATTTTTTGAGGCCAACATAAAAAGCACCAAAAGGCAAAGATAATTGTCATTCTATTCAATATTTTTTCAGAAAATAACGGTTCGTTTTGCCTTTTTTTTTTTCATTTTTTATTTTTTTATTTTTTTATGTGGTTCACATAAATGATATAAACATAATCAGCATCGAATAACTTGTTTTTTTCCCCTGAACCTACTCTATATATTCCATGAGTTGTATTGACTAGCTTGGCACGACTGAAACGAAGCCCATTAAGCTCAGCCTCTGAGACTTAAAAGTTTTTTTGTTCTCCGGTTGGCTCAATGGATGAAAAATCAAGCCAGAAAGCACCTCTTCTATCAAGGAAAGCGGATGACGTCACTACTTATCCCAAGAAAAAACCTTTCTTGTTATCATCAGCAAAATGGGCTCTCAGAGTTCTAATGTGGGCGGTTTTCATTGCATGGATGGCTTCTACTTTTCTCTATCCATCTGATTCTTTCAACACTTCATATCTCAAATTGGCTCGATTCACTGAGGGAACTCTGTTTGGGATTGCAGGTTTGTGGCTCACATTTTGAACTTCTTCAAAATTTCATTTTCCTTGTTACTTAATTTTGTAATTTATTTTATTTCTTTGTCAGGAACTATATTCTTAACTTACAGTGCCCCCGTTATTCTCATTGCGTTTCTCGCCACTGCTTATCTGGCTCTACGTGGCAAAGAGGATTTTCATGTGTAAGTTAGTTTTTTCCTGAAAACTATCCTAGTATTTGCTCACCATATGTACGATTTTTCATATTTGTTTGTGTTTTATTAATTAATTGTGTGTACAATAGCAATAAGAATTCAAACTATGCGCGCTTTCGGCTATGGACATTCCCTGTTCTTGTGGATGGACCTTTTGGAGTCGTCTCGGCTGCTGAGTTGTTCTGGATTTTCATAGTTACCGCATATTTGCTGTGGGCATTTGTGGCTTTTACAGTCAAGAACCGTGAAATCTTATCATTGTTTCAACTTCCAACAAAAGAGTGGAGGTAAAAACTAAAACAATCTTGTGAAGTATTATAATACTAAGTACTAAAGATGAGCAGTCACTATGAAATAATTCCGAGTAACCTTACTATTTGGCGAAACGGTTGCATTCTATCTTTTTCAAATTTATGACTTTCAACAAAAAAAAAAAAAAAAAATTTCTTTTACTGAATCATATCAGAATTGCGTACAAAAAATATTTATTTCAGGTGATCAATTGTTTTCCTTCCTTGGTTAATGCTTCCTTCCCTTCTGGAAGATATGGACCGAGTTACTAAGCTTAGTGAATAATTGAATATATCTCTCAAGAACAATTCCCTTTAGTGATCAAACTCTTTTTTTGCAGTCTTTTGATGCTAGAACTCACAGGTCTGCGGTTGGGAATGATTGGACTATTTTGCTTGGCATTTTTATTCTTGCCCATTTCAAGAGGATCTATTCTCCTCCGTCTTATAGATATTCCTTTCGAACATGCCACGAGATATCACGTTTGGCTTGGACATCTCACTATGCTCTTGTTTACACTCCACGGCCTTTTCTATGTGATCCCTTGGGCTATACAGGGTTGCCTCATCTCCAAAGTAAGTCCTCTTTACCAAATTATGCACTCATACTAATGATGAAAAAAA